CCTAAACCCTAAACCCTAAACCCTAAACCCTAAACCCTAAACCCTAAACCCTAAACCCTAAACCCTAAACCCTAAACCCTAAACCCGCGATCCATGTCTAGGGATCGCGGAAAGGTTGTGGAGTGTACACGACACAACAAAGACAACTTACTTTACAGGACACGAAACGTTAAGGTCGCTTGCACTTGCGGACCTGGCCCTGACACAGAGAGAACCCCAAACCCTGGTTGACAAGCCCTAACCCAAACTCAACGTTTGGGTTTGGGGGGTCCAAACCTGGAAACCTGCACGTTTTGGGGGGTCCAAACCTGGAAACCTGCACGTTTTGGGGGGTCCAAACCTGGAAACCTGCACGTTTGGGGGGTCCAAACCTGGAAACCTGCACGTTTTGGGTGTCCAAACTGGAAACCTGCACGTTTTGGGGGGTCCAAACCTGGAGACCTGCACGTTTTGGGGGGTCCAAACCTGGGAACCTGCACGTTTTGGGGGGTCCAAACCTGGAAACCTGCACGTTTTAGGGGGTCCAAACCTGGAAACCTGCACGTTTTGGGGGGTCCAAACCTGGAAACCTGCACGTTTGGGGGGTCCAAACCTGGAAACCTGCACGTTTTGGGGGGTCCAAACCTGGAAACCTGCACGTTTTGGGGACCCAAACCTGGAAACCTGCACGTTTTAGGGGGCCCAAACCTGAAAACCTGCACGTTTTGGGGGGTCCAAACCTGGAAACCTGCACGTTTTGGGGGTCCAAACCTGGAAACCTGCACGTTTTGGGGGGTCCAAACCTGGAAACCTGCACGTTTTGGGGGGTCCAAACCTGAAAACCTGCACGTTTTGGGGGGTCCAAACCTGGAAACCTGCACGTTTTGGGGGTCCAAACCTGAAAACCTGCACGTTTTGGGGGTCCAAACCTGGAAACCTGCACGTTTTGGGGGGTCCAAACCTGGAAACCTGCACGTTTTGGGGGGTCCAAACCTGGAAACCTGCACATTTTGGGGTCCAAACCTGGAAACCTGCACGTTTTAGGGGTCCAAACCTGGAAACCTGCACGTTTTGGGGGGTCCAAACCTGGAAACCTGCACGTTTTGGGGTCTCCAAACCTGGAAACCTGCACGTTTTGGGGGTCCAAACCTGGAAACCTGCACGTTTTGGGGGTCCAAACCTGGAAACCTGCACATTTTTGGGGTCCAAACCTGGAAACTTGCACGTTTTGGGGGTCCAAACCTGAACCTGCACGTTTTGGGGGTCCAAACCTGGAAACCTGCACGTTTTGGGGGCCCAAGTTTGGAAACCTGCACGTTTTGGGGGTCCAAACCTGGAAACCTGCACGTTTTGGGGGTCCAAACCTGGAAACCTGCACGTTTTTGGGGTCCAAACCTGGAAACCTGCACGTTTTTGGGTCCAAACCTGGAAACTTGCACGTTTTGGGGGTCCAAACCTGAACCTGCACGTTTTGGGGGTCCAAACCTGGAAACCTGCACGTTTTGGGGGCCCAAGTTTGGAAACCTGCACGTTTTGGGGGTCCAAACCTGGAAACCTGCACGTTTTGGGGGTCCAAACCTGGAAACCTGCACGTTTTTGGGGTCCAAACCTGGAAACCTGCACGTTTTTGGTGGTCAAACCTGGAAACCTGCACGTTTTGGGGGTCCAAACCTGGAAACCTGCACGTTTTGGGGGTCCAAACCTGGAAACCTGCGCGTTTTGGGGGTCCAAACCTGGAAACCTGCACGTTTTGGGGGTCCAAACCTGGAAACCTGCACGTTTTGGGGTTTTGGGGGTCCAAACCTGGAAACCTGCACATTTTTGGGGTCCAAACCTGGAAACTTGCACGTTTTGGGGGTCCAAACCTGAACCTGCACGTTTTGGGGGTCCGAACCTGGAAACCTGCACGTTTTGGTGGCCCAAGCCTGGAAACCTGCACGTTTTGGGGGTCCAAACCTGGAAACCTGCACGTTTTGGGGGTCCAAACCTGGAAACCTGCACGTTTTTGGGGTCCAAACCTGGAAACCTGCACGTTTTTGGGGTCCAAACCTGGAAACCTGCACGTTTGGGGGTCCAAACCGGGAAACCTGCACGTTTTGGGGGGTCCAAACCTGGAAACCTGTACGTTTTGGGGGTCCAAACCTGGAAACCTGCACGTTTTGGGGGGTCCCAACCCTGAAACCTGCACGTTTTTGGGGGTTCCAAACCTGAAACCTGCACGTTTAAATGGGGGGTCCAAACCTGGAACCCTGCACGTTTTTGGGGGTCCAAACCTGGAAACCTGCACGTTTTGGGGGTCCAAACCGGGAACTTCTGCACGTTTTGTGGGTCCAAACCTGGAAACCTGCCACGTTTTTGAGGGCCAAACCTGGAACCCCTGCACGTTTTGGGGGGTCCAAACTGGAACCTGCACGGTTTGGGGTCCAACTGGAAACCTCTGCACGGTTTTGGGCCAAACTGGAAACCTCTGCACGTTTTGGGGGTCCAAACCTGGAAACCTGCACGTTTTGGGGGTCCAAACCTGGAAACCTGCACGTTTTGGGGGTCCAAACCTGGAAACCTGCACGTTTTGGGGGTCCAAACCTGGAAACCTGCACGTTTTGGGGGTCCAAACCTGGAAACCTGCACGTTTTGGGGGTCCAAACCTGGAAACCTGCACGTTTTGGGGGTCCAAACCTGGAAACCTGCACGTTTTGGGGGTCCAAACCTGGAAACCTGCACGTTTTGGGGGTCCAAACCTGGAAACCTGCACGTTTTGAGGGTCCAAACCTGGAAACCTGCACGTTTGGGGGGTCCAAACCTGACGTTTGGCGAGCCGCGGCCTTGAAAGGTGATTTAAGGTCTGGGTGGTTTTTGGGGTGGGATCGACAGCCGGCCGCGCGTATGTTGGTGCCTTTTTCTTTTCGGCACCAACATACAACTAAAGCGACACCCTAAACCCTAAACCCTAAACCCTAAACCCTAAACCCTAAACCCTAAACCCTAAACCCTAAACCCTAGACCCTAAACCCTAAACCCTAAACCCTAAACCCTAAACCCTAAACCCTAAACCCTAAACCCTAAACCCTAAACCCTAAACTCAAACCCTAAACCCTAAACCCTAAACCCTAAACCCTAAACCCTAAACCCTAAACCCTAAACCCTAAACCCTAAACCCTAAACCCTAAACCCTAAACCCTAAACCCTAAACCCTAAACCCTAAACCCGCCCGCCACCCCTCTCACCTCTGTTGGGGTAGGCGGGCGCAGTCGAGCGCTCAGCGAGACCACGGCAGGCTCTGCTGGGCTGCAGAGCCTGCCAGGCACACCCCTGAGAGGGTCGCCTAGCTAGAGTCGCCTAGCATTGTCACAGATATATTGTATTACCCTAAACCCCACACTTTTGCTCTCGCAAGGCGGGGGGGGTGTCCTTTCCCTGTCGGCCCAGCCTCCCCTCCCGGACCATTTCCGAGCCTTTTTGGGCTCCTCCCCTGACAGTTTCTGAGCCTTGTCGGGCTCCTTCCGGACAGTTTCTGAGCCTTTTCGAGCTCCTCCCTGACAGTTTCTGAGCTTCTGTGGGCTCCTCCCAGACAGTTTCCGAGCCTTTTTGGGCTCCTCCCGTAAGGGCGTCCGGGGTTGTCCGGGGGGCGTCCCGGGCCGTCCCGGGGCGTCCGGGGGTGTCCGGGGGCGTGTTGGGCGCTTGTCCGGGGGGTGCCCCGGGACCCCCCCGGACGTGGAGCGGGACAGTGTCCGGGGGGCACCCCCGGACGCCCCCGGACCACCCCAGACCGTCGCATTACAAGGGGTTTGCCTAGGGCAGCCTTGATTCCGCTTAACAAAATCCTCGAAAACGCTTGGTTTTCGCGCAAAAATCGAAAATGTGACGGCGGGAAAATGCTCATTTTGACCGGTTTCGTCGAAAGCAATTGGGCCCACTTCCACGGGATCGATTTTTCAGGTTTGCGCGCGGCGCGCGCCCGCCTCGTGTTTCGCTACCTGCCGCGGGGAGCTCGTGCGGCATTCCACGGAAAATTGGGTCGCCGCACGTTTTTGGCTAAGTCTTTTTTCGTGTTTTTGGACGTTTTTGCTTCACCTATAAGGTAACGGACGACGCGTGGGGGCGGGAACTTGCCAGCCCGTGCTTCGCGACGTCGTCCACACTAAGGTTCGAGAAGGGTAGGAACCCCTCCGAGACTGTCAGGTGGCGCTGATGGCTCGGGGGGGAACCAGGCCTGGGTAATTTTGCTGCTTTTGGTCTTTTCTTACAATCTATGCGAACCGATGATGGACATGTTGTTGCTGTTCATGCGCATGCCCAGGTGCGACGACCTTTCCAACGGCTCCGGCGGCTCCAGGGGAGAAGAGTGAGTAGCAGCATCCACGTGCCCGAATAAAATCGCCGACTGCCTCGCGAATCGCACCAAAGTCTCGCGTCGTCTGAGTCCGGTTGCACTGAACCATGCATGCGGCACAGCCTGTGTTGCAGTTGACGTGCTGTGAATCTGCATCTGCGAATCTGGGCCCTCGGCGAAACAGTTGGTCTAGCTTATCTCCTGCAGCCACTGAGAAGCCGAACCTTTGTGTTTTGCAATCACTGTAGCTTTTCCTTGCCGAGATGCCGCGCACGTGCCCCGGCATGATGGATGCGCCGTGCCGCTTCTCTACTACCCGGGCTGGCGAGCCAGCGCGACCGACGCAAGGCCATGGCGCATGCTTGTTCTGCGACTTGGGGCGTCTGGAAAACGCGGTGACGACTTCCAGCATGTCCACTGTGGTCCGTATGCTCCGAGCAACTCAACTGCACTTTGCTTTGTGAACTCGATGGATACGCGTTTCGCTCAAGAGTTGCGAAAGAGCCTCAGGTACTGCGTGGTTTCGACCCGGACATCTACGACGAGGCTCTGACCCGTGTGGGCGAGGTCACCCCCGACATGGGTGACATCCACAACCTCGTTGTCTCCGGCGGCGGTGCCGCAGCGCCGACTCGTGGCACGCAAACCTGGTGCCGCGGCCAAGCGGATCATCCATGCTGCTTCGCAGCTGATGGGCACGGAGGCCGGGCTCAAGGCACTCGCGCATTCGGATGTCTCTTCTGCGACGCAGGGTCCATGGAACGAGCGGTCCGAACCCCGCAGGGTCGCGGCAGCGTCGTGCGGCTGCTGAAGAGGTGGCGCGCGACCGCGCCAGCAGTCTATGAAGCGGCGCTCCACCGCAGTGTGCTCACGTCCCTGCCGCTAGAGATGCGGAGTGCCTTGATCGAGCCTTCCCAACGCGCACTGCGTGCATCGCGCGGAGGGCCGTCGAAGCCCGACAAGGACACTGTGCTCTCCTGGCGTACTTCTGTCCTGGCTCCTCCGACCCCTGCCGAAGTGGAGGATTACAAGGCCCGTGTAGACTCCGATCGCGAGTACGTCCACAAGAAGTTCTTTCCTGGCCACACACGCAGGGTGAAGCATGCGCAGTGGACATGGCGGAACCCGCAGTCGGAGGACCTGCAGAATCGGGTCCAGGACCTGGCTCCGAACGACACCGGCCTTCCATCGGCGTGCACGAGTTCGTCGGCAGTTGCTATGGAAGCCTGGTGCAAGCGGGCCTCCTGGGGACTGTGTGCCGTTTGTGGATCCGTGCAGCCACAGCACCTGAAGGAGGCAGCTTGCAGTCGCTTGCCGGCGGCGGTGATCCAGCGGTGCAAGAACTGCAAGAAAGACAAGTCGAAGCAGATCTGGGTCCCATGGCCGGAGGAAGTTCCGGAGCCGCTGCAGGGTTTGTCCCGTGAAATTATTCTGGCTCTGCGTCCACTGGAGGTGGACTGCGGTCCAGAGTGGAAGGCGGATTACGGGTACTTTTTCCACAGCACGATGCTGCGGCTCGCATGGTCCGCGCAGGACGTGGAGGAGAAGATCGCCGGCCTGGATGGCGCTGCTCGCCGCACTGCTGCGAAGGCCTTGCCACATGTCACGCTGTCATTGTGGGTTCGTTTGCTAGGATGCTCACTCCTGCGTAGGCTTTCGAGTTCCTCATACGCAGCGACGACTCCAGCTACCGCGACTTCGTCCATCGCCACCGAGCCTTCATGCAGCGGTACCCGGAGGCGGACCACGACCGGCGCAAGCGCCCGCTGCGATGCATCGAGGAGGCGGCCGTGGAGTGCGTTCTCTGGCCTCACTTGTACTGGGACCGGCGCTTGTGCGACCGCTCGCCTGGCGGACGTGCGGCGTGCAGCTCGCCGCCAGTCAGCTGAGCCGGACGACGACGGGTGGTCTGAGGACCAGGCAGGCGAGGAGGAGGACGTGGACCCTGCGCGCAGGCAGAGTCTCAAGCGCAACTTTCTTGCCAAGGCCCTGGGCCCCATCGCGGACTACGCCGGCGAGTATGAGTTGCTGCACTTCGTGTTCGATCTCTCCACGTGGTCCGATGTTGGCGGCAAGAAGGGTGCACTTCGCGGCACACCCATGTGGCAAGCCATGAAGGGCGCTCCGTGGACACCCCAATATTGGAAAGTGCGGCACGCGGCGGCGTTGGACATGCAAGCCCAGTGCGGCCATCCGGTGGCTTTCCTGACGTGGGCGCCTTTTGAGTGGTCCGCCCCTTACCATGAGTGGTTGCTGCGGCAGATGGCCCAGCTGGGTCGGCAGCGGCTGCAGCTGGCCGGCCCCGAGACGATGCATCTCGCCCACATCCTCACGGAGCTCTTCCGCGAGTGGGTCTGTGGAGGCGGTCGAAAGTCTGGCGACGCCTCCAGCACCTGGCGCTCCGCCCTCCTTGGCGGCGTCATGGAGGACGGGCGCAGGTTGAAGGTCAACTTCATAGGGCGCCTCGAGTTCCAAGATGGCAAAAGAAAGGAAGTCACGCAGAGCTACCACGGACGGGCCGCAGTCCACCTCCATGGACTGGTGTTTGCAGACAGTCTAGCCCCCATGCGTCTCCCCGACAAGGCGAGCGCGACGGTGCCTGAGGAAGGGAACCCTCTGCGAGGCTATGTCCTTGATGGCCAGGCTGGACGCACGGGCAGCGGATGGCCACAGCACTCGGGCAACAACGAGTATGATGCGGTGCAGGACAAGGTGCGCTTGCACCACACGGAGTTGGACAAGAAGCTCGGCATCAGAGGGTACATCCCCGAAGTTCTGGATGTGCTGAAGTGCCATCAGGACCTGCAGCTGGACCGTGGCTCCGGCCTCATGCTTAAGTACACCGCCACTTACCTACCGAAGTTCGGCGATGGCCCGGGCAAGGAGCTCATGGACGACGCCAGCAGCGGCTACGGCGCAGCTCGCCGAGTTCTCTTCACCTTCCATCCCGGGGAGCCGGAAATGTGGCTTCTTCTTGCCAATCAGACATTTCCGATGTTCTTCATGGGAGGCACGATGCAGCCGATCATCGCACCCCATCCAGGAATGCCGGTGAAGCCGGAGTACCTCCAACTCTACGAAGCTGCGGACTGGCGCTGCGACATGCCACTGATCGAATACCTGCGGAAGGTCAATAAGAAGGGCGCCATCCTGGAGCATATCCGAAAAGCCTATCTGCGGACGGACCAAAGGGTCCCTCTGCAGGACTTCGCCGTGCGCTTTGAGACCTTCGGGGAAAAGATCATCGCCGCGGAGATGGTCTCCATGCAGAACGACAAGTTCTACGGGCAATGGATGGCGCTGCACATTCCGTACAAGCGATTGGAAGATCTCCTGTTGCCGGAGATCGTGCAGTCGGTCCCCGATCAGGTGAAGTTTCTTGCGTGCGCCCTGCACTGGGCGCCCGAGCTCTGGCGCAGCGCCCCACGCGTGCGCGAGTACATGGCTCTGCGCGCCCACCGGGATGCCTACATTGAGACAGTGGTCAGCATGCTCCAGGCGCAGGCTTTCTTCATCCAGCAGCACCTCTCAGGAGAGCTGCGGCGTGTGGAGGCCGTCGCCGTGCCCCGGAGTATCGCGGACCTTTTCGAAGAGAGGTTGGACGACCTCGTCTTCACCGCGGAGCAAGCCACCTTCGAGCGCAACGTCAACCAGCGGGTGGACCAAGCCTTGCGACTTCGGGAAGTGGAGGACGAACAGGAGTACGAGCGCTTGGCAGGCATCATTGAGGAGCATGGCTCCATGGTCGCTTGCTCCGGCGCTCCGGGCACAGGCAAGACGGCCGTCCTGGACCGTTGCATCCGGCGGGCCCAGCAGCGGGGAGCGCGCGTGCTCATTGCTCTCCCGACTGGCGTCCAGCGGGCGCGTATGAAGCAGCGCCATCCGGATGCGGAGCTGGACACGTGCCACGGGGCCTTCCTGTTCCACAAGCCGCTCGCGGAGGCCATGGGCATCATGAGCTGCTATGATCTCATCGTCATAGACGAGGCGCCGCAACTCTTTGAAGAGCACTTCGACCGCCTCGACGAGATGTGGGTGGCTGCAGGGAAGGCGCCATGTCTCGTCTTCGCCGGCGACGAATGGCAGCTACCTCCACCGGACCGCACCAAGCGGAGTTTGGTCAGGCATCCCAAATGGAACCTGGTCCGCAAGATCGAGCTCCACCACATCTGGCGTCAGCATGAAGACGACCCTCTGCAAAGCAAGTTGACCTTCCTTCGCAAGAATCGGCCCACGGGCACGGAAGGAAGCACTTTCGTGCGAGACCTGTGCCGCAACCACAAGGCCTGGTCCGGGCACCACCGGCCGAGAGCAGAGGACATCCAAGCGCTCATGGAGAGGACGGCCGGGGACACGACGGTCATCACCTGTACTCGTCGTGGCGCTGCGCTCGTCAACGCCCTGGCCCAGGAGGTACTCTTCAAGCGCGCAGGTCAGCCAGCCTTGGGGCGCGTTGCTGCCGACTGGGAAAGCAACCCTGCGAACTATGACGAGGACACCGGGGTCCTCCTGGACCGTTGCCCCGAGCCTTGGCAGCTCACCCTCTACGCTGGCCTGCGAGTCCGACTCACACGCAACATGGACAAGGCCCATGACTTCGTGAACGGCATGGCAGCCACGGTCCTCAGCTTCGACCCACGCTACAGTGCACTGATCGTAGAGACCGAGACCTCGGAGACTCTCTGCGTCTATCCTGTCAGTGACGACAACGTCCCAGATGGCCACGTGACGTACCATCCAGTGCGCCTCGGGTACGCGGATACGGTGCACAAGTTCCAGGGCGCAGAACTGCGCCATGTGACCTTCTGGCCAGATTGCCCTGGATGCGCCGCTGCAGGGTACGTCGCACTTTCCCGCGTCCGGCGCGATTGTGACTACCTGCTCGGAGGCTGCGTGGCTGCGGAGCACTTCGTGCCGGCCATGTGAATACGGGGGCGAATCCCTGCCTCTCCGGACGTTTCACTTCGGTGCTCTGCAAGGACGTCGCTTGCTCGCTGGGCAAATGCACACGCTTATGTATAGATGTGCCCCCTAAAATGCCAGATACACTGTTCGTCAAGCAATGTGCTTCTGCGCCCGCAGAGTAGTGGCACTTCACCTTGTCGCGACGACAGGCTGCGACTCCGGACAGAAAGGCGAGCCGCAGTGCACAAAGCCAGCGTGTTCGCACTTTTCGAGTCGCTCGTGCGCTTCCTGAGCAAAAGGCTTTGTGTTCTTAGCCACTGCGTGACTGCATGTATTCTCCAGACCGTTGCGCCTTTGCTCCAAACCCGTTGCCTGCAGAGCCGTGCCAGAGCCGCGCTGCTTGCTGTTGCTGTTTCAGCTTGTTAGCGCAAGACAGGGGCCGTTCTGCCAACTTCTTGTACGCGACCCACCACGTGCTGGAAGGGTTGCAGCGCCTCATCTGCATTTAAAATGTGTGATTTTTTTTTGGCTGGCTTGGCTTTGGCTGGCTCCGATTTGGGTTCGCAGTGAGTTGTGATTGGGTGGCCTTGGGGTGGGCATGTCTGCATACTATTGCGTTCAGCTGACCCGTGCTACACCCTAAACCCTAAACCCTAAACCCTAAACCCTAAACCCTAAACTAAACCCTAAACCCTAAACCCTAAACCCTAAACCCTAAACCCCCTAAACCCTAATACCCCTAATACCCTACCCCTAAACCCTAAAACCCTAAACCCTAAAGTCTTGGCCGCGAGCGCGACCTAGTCGCGAAGCGGCCTCGCGACGATCAGGAGCCGTCAAGACACACCACTGCAGAGGGTAAAGCCTCTGCAGCCTCTCCTCCTCGGCAAGCCCCCGTACTGGGACTAATAAAGGTCAGACCTGTAAACTTCAACCCCATACCCGGCATGAAATCCTAAATCCTAAATTCGAGCCTACAAGCTTCCCGGAGCTTCCCAGGGCTTTTTTGAAGCCCCCAGAGCCTCTTCGAGAGCTTTTCAAGCTGCTTCGGAGCCTTTTAGGGGCTCCCAAGGGTCACCCGGACCCCCGCGACCTTTTCACAGCCTAATTTTGGTCAAGGGGGGGTCGTATTTTTCCATTTTCAAAGCAATTTAGTATTCGGAGACCCCCCTTGCTCAAAACTCCGACCCCCCCTTGAAGGGGAAAGTTTGCCTCCAAAAACACCCCAAATGAGGGGGACCCCAGGATCGGCCCGGGTCCCAGTTAAAAGTGCGATTTTTTAGTACTGAAATCGACGGTTCTGGGCGGGCTCTAAAACCGAGCCTTCACCGGTTTCAGGGCTTCAAGTTTTTCAAGGCTCTTCAAGGCTTTTCCAAGCTTCCCAGAGCTTCCCAGGGCTTTTTGAAGCCACCAGAGCCTTTTCGATAGCTTTTCAAGCTGCTTCGGAGCCTTTTAGGGGCTCCTAAGGGTCACCCGGACCCCCGCGACCTTTTCACAGCCTAATTTTGGTCAAGGGGGGGTCGTATTTTTCCATTTTCAAAGCAATTTAGTATTCGGAGACCCCCCTTGCTCAAAACTCCGACCCCCCCTTGAAGGGGAAAGTTTGCCTCCAAAACCACCCCACATGAGGGGGACCCCAAGATCGGCCCGGGTCCCAGTTAAAAGTGCGATTTTTTAGTACTGAAATCGACGGTTCTGGGCGGGCTCTAAAACCGAGCCTTCACCGGTTTCAGGGTTTCAAGTTTTTCAAGGCTCTTCAAGGCTTTTCCAAGCTTCCCAGAGTTTCCCAGAGCTTTTTGAAGCCACCAGAGCCTTTTCGATAGCTTTTCAAGCTGCTTGGGAGCATTTTAGATGCCCCCCAAAGGGGTCACCCGGACCCCTGCGACCTTTTCACGGCCTAATTTTGGTCAAGGGGGGGTCGTGTTATCCCATTTTCAAAGCAATTTAGTATTCGGAGACCCCCCTTGCTCATAACTCCGACCCCCCCTTGAAGGGGAAAGTTTGCTTCCAAAAACACCCCAAATGAGGGGGACCCCCAAGATCGGCCCGGGCCCCAAGTTAAAAGTGCGATTTTTTAGTACTGACATCGACGGTTCTGGGCGGGCTCTAAAACCGAGCCTTCACCGGTTTCAGGGTTTCAAGTTTTCAAGGCTCTTCAAGGCTTTTCCAAGCTTCCCAGAGTTTCCCAGAGCTTTTTGAAGCCACCAGAGCCTTTTCGATAGCTTTTCAAGCTGCTTGGGAGCATTTTAGATGCCCCCCAAAGGGGTCACCCGGACCCCTGCGACCTTTTCACGGCCTAATTTTGGTCAAGGGGGGGTCGTGTTATCCCATTTTCAAAGCAATTTAGTATTCGGAGACCCCCCCTGCTCATAACTCCGACCCCCCCTTGAAGGGGAAAGTTTGCTTCCAAAAACACCCCAAATGAGGGGGACCCCAGGATCGGCCCGGGCCCTAGTTAAAAATGCGATTTTTTAGTATTGAAATCGACGGTTCTGGGTGGGTTCTCGTTTTCTGGATTTTTGACCAAAACCGAGCCTTCACCGGTTTCAGCCAAAAGCACCCCAAATGAGGACAACCCCAGGATCGGCCCGGGTCCCAGTTAAAAATGCGATTTTTTAGTACTGAAATCGACGGTGCTGGGTGGGTTCTCGTTTTCTGGAATTTGACCAAAACCGAGCCTTGCTCCTCTCGGACAATTCCTGCAGGCTCCTCCCGGACAGTTTCTGAGCTTTTTTGGGCTCTTCCCAGACAGTTTCTGAGCATTTTGGTGCTCCTCCCGGACAGATTCTGGGCCTTTTTGGGCTCCTCCTGGACAGTTTCGTGTTCAAAGCAATTTAGCATTCGGAGACCCCCTTGCTCAAATCCTCCCGGACAATTCCTGGGCCTTTTTGGGCTCCTCTTGGACAGTTTCGTGCTTGTTTGGGCTCCCGGACAGTTTCTGAGCCTTTTTAAATCCTTCCAGTTTCTGAGTTTTTTTGGGCTCCTCCCGGACAGTTTCTGGGCCTTTCTGGGTTCCTCCCGGACAGTTTTCGAGCCTTTTTGGGTTTTGGGGCCTTTTTGAACGCCTTTTTTTTGGGCTCCTCCCGGACAATTTTCTGCACTTTTTTGGGCTCACGGCCCTTTTTAAGCTCCTCCCGGACAATCTCTGAGCTTTTTGGGCCCGGACAGTTTCCGAGCCTTTTTGGTTTTTCGGGCTCCTTCCGGACAATTTCGCGTTTCTGTCGGCTCCTCGTTTCTGAGCTTTTTTGGGCTCCTCCCGGACGGTTTCTGACCTTTTTTGGGCTCCTCGCTTTTTTGCTCCTCCCGCACAGTTTCTAAGCCTTTTTGGGTTCCTTCCGGACAGTTTCGGAGCCTTTTCGGGTTTTGGTGCCTCTGGAAGCCTTTTTAAGCCTTTAGGCTCCTCCCAGACAGTTTCTCAGCCTTTTTGGGCTCCTCCCGGACAGTTTCTGCTCCTCCCGGACGTTTCTGGGCCTTTTTGGGCTCCTCCCGGACAGTTTCGGGATCAAGAGCGTGCATGTTGGTTTCTTCTGAGAGGAAGCGGCGGCTTTGTTTTGCTGGCGGCAGCCAGGTAGTCTCACGTAAAACCCGGACCCTGCTCCGAGGGACCCACAATCTTTTGTTTTGGCGGGGAAAACTTCCCTCCGGTTTCTCCAATTTTTGTTTCTTAAACATCTGCGCGCAAGTTGAGTTGCATCCTTCGGCTACAACTCAACTTCCGCGCGACGTGCTTGTAATTCAGAGAAGGGGGTAAGAAAAAGAAAAAAAGGAAAATTGATTACACAACGAACGCCGGGAGGGTCGGGCGGGCAACAAGCAGCCGCGCGTCAGGCTTGGCACACCCTAAACCCTAAACCCTAAACCCTAAACCCTAAACCCTAAACCCTAAACCCTAAACCCTAAACCCTAAACCCTAAACCCTAAACCCTAAACCCTAAACCCTAAACCCTAAACCCTAAAACCGCGAACCTCGAACCCCGAAACCCGAAACCCGAACCTTAAAGCCTAAACCCTAAAACCCTAAACCGAACCCGAAACCCTTAAACCTAAAACCCGAAGACCCTAAACGAAACCCCTAAACCCTAAACCCTTAAACCCGAAACCCTAAACCCTAAACCCTAGACCCTAGACCCTAAACCCTAAACCCTAAACCCTAAACCCTAAACCCTAAACCCTAAACCCTAAACCCTAAACCCTAAACCCTAAACCCTAAACCCTAAACCCTAAACCCTAAACCCTAAACCCTAAACCCTAAACCCTAAACCCTAAACCCGCGATCCCTGTCTAGGGATCGCGGAAAGGTTGTGGAGTGTACACGACACAACAAAGACAACTTACTTTACAGGACACGAAACGTTAAGGTCGCTTGCACTTGCGGACCTGGCCCTGACACAGAGAGAACCCCAAACCCTGGTTGACAAGCCCTAACCCAAACACAACGTTTGGGTTTGGGGGGTCCAAACCTGGAAACCTGCACGTTTTGGGGGGTCCAAACCTGGAAACCTGCACGTTTTGGGGGGTCCAAACCTGGAAACCTGCACGTTTTGGGGGGTCCAAACCTGGAAACCTGCACGTTTTGGGGGGTCCAAACCTGGAAACCTGCACGTTTTGGGGGTCCAAACCTGGAAACCTGCACGTTTTGGGGGGTCCAAACCTGGAAACCTGCACGTTTTGGGGGGTCCAAACCTGGAAACCTGCACGTTTGGGGGGTCCAAACCTGGAAACCTGCACGTTTTGGGGGTCCAAACCTGGAAACCTGCACGTTTTGGGGGGTCCAAACCTGGAGAACCTGCACGTTTTGGGGGGTCCAAACCTGGAAACCTGCACGTTTTGGGGGGTCCAAACCTGGAAACCTGCACGTTTTGGGAACCTGGAAACCTGCACGTTTTGGGGGTCCAAACCTGGAAACCTGCACGTTTTGGGGGTCCAAACCTGGAAACCTGCACGTTTTGGGGGTCCAAACCTGGAAACCTGCACGTTTTGGGGGTCCAAACCTGGAAACCTGCGCGTTTTGGGGGTCCAAA